AGGGCTGTAATATTTGCTTGGTGAAGGTAAGCTCTGGATATCAGGGTGACAACAGGTTTGGAGTCCCAGATAACAGCACACAAGGTACTGTTTGTGATGAGGCACCCATTGAGAGGAACATAGGCAGCTCCTGCATGTAAGACACCAAGAATACCTATGATTTGGGCTATTGACTGTTTAATGATAAGGCATACTCATGTTCCCCAGCAGATACCATGGGCACAGAGAGCAAGAGCAAGCTGGGCTGAGTGAGTGTCCAAGTCTTTGTATGAGATTTTCTGGTTGGTATGATTTTCAACTGCTATACTCTGTAGAATGTTGATAGCACAAGTGCAGAATGCTTCATGAACCAAGGTATACAGGATTGTAGATTTGGGAGCAATACTCAAGCTAAGACCCTTATCCAGAATTTGTAGCAATTCATTGGTGGGATGAACCACTAAAGAAGATGAAAATTGTTATTGTGTGACTCTTGCATGCAAGTAGTAAATCATGCCTACCTTTACTGAATAAATGTAATGGAAAAATTGAGTGTAATATGTCTGATATAGATTGTGGTTTGAGTCTAGCTGCTTAGTGTTCAAGTTGTCTTAAACTTGAACAGCATCTCAAATTTTTGTGATAATCAGTAGTTCATGGTGATAGATATACCAATGCCTTGCTTCCATCTGCAAGAAATGTGAAATCCAAAAATTATGCTAACTATGAAATCAAACTGAGTTCTGGTTAAATGATCTATATGAAACATTAATTCTTTCAAACTTTAGTTACTCTGTCTCCACTACATTGGTTGCTTGACCATATCACAGCAGCTAGAGGGTGTGAACATACATGGCAGCAGAAAGATAGGATACACACAAAGTCAAATGGAGGGTGACATGTATATCCTTGATCAGAGGCCTTGATATCCAAGTTCTGATCAATCATTGCCAGGGCCATAGTGGCCTCCATCAGCTGCTTTACTATATAGCCACACTGTTTAAGTCCTTGGAAAAAGCTCTGGGATTCTTCTGGATGGAGTACTAGAACAATATAAATGACTTTACTGAAATCTTAGATAGCATCCCTAGGCATGTGGAGAATGATGATCCTCTAGTCACTAAAAGATTATTGAGCCGTGGCAGGTGGGGGTTTGAGAAGTAAATGTGTAAGCCTCCTCAGAGTTGATGACCTGGCCCAATGTGAGGGGAGCTAGTCTTGTGGAAATGGCAGACAGAGGCATTAGGGTTGAGTGGGGATGACAGTGAATGGGAGGGTAATGAGTGTGGGGCTTAGGTGGTACAATAACAGGGTTGGGACAGGTTGCAGCATGAGTCATTGGAGAGGGCCAAATCCTTGGAGAATGGATCAGATGGTGGGCATGACTGAGGTTGTAGAATGCAGGACCAACCTGGGTGAAGAGTGTTGTTGATGGTGTTGCATGACTGGAATAGGTCAATATCAATGACAGCAACAATTATGACAATGGCAAAGAGTATGAGAAAAGGGATAGGGGGGTGTCCATAATGCAGTGGAGCCTTTCCTGCACTGCATTAGAGTGGCATAATGATTACCAGGGAGGAGCTGTCTTGTGCAACAGTTAGCATGGAGGGGGGACTGCATGGCAGCATAAGAGGCTGAAGGCATGGGAGGCAGGAGAGGTGAGCAGCACAAGGAGAGCAGGGCATGAGTGGCAAGAGAAGGGCAGAGCAGCTATGCTCATCAGCAGGGGCAGGAGCTCTAAGTAATAGGTTTGAGCTTGCACTCTTCCTTTGAGAGAAAAACACACTATTTCCTATCATATAGCAAGTAAGGAGGTGATTAGATCTGAAGGGTGAGACCACTGTATATGTCATGCCTTTACAGTACCAACTTGGGTGCTGTGGCAGCCAATCTTGCACAGCTTGCTAACTGGTGGCTGAGTATGGCTGTAATGCTGAGCTCTCTCTCAGAATAGATTTTGAAGTCAGCACAACAACACTTTGCATAAAAATAAACATACAGGAGTCATCTGAACAATGCACTGAGTCTTCTGAAATATATTGCAAACTGATTATTGCAGGTCCATTATTTTCTTTCTCAGTCCACCAATGGGCAGACTCAGTAGAAGAAACCTGGTGCAGAGGTAAAATAAATAGATTAGTGTAGCAATGGAGATGAAGGACATACTGAACAGATAACATGCAATTGAGAGGAGGTCAATATTTGATGCATGGCAGCATTACTCATTTCATTGCCAACAAAATTAGAAGATACCAACATCTATATGTAACTTGTAAAATGGGTGCTATTGATCTACAGATGCATCAGTAAAATCCTCATCCCCTACTCATGATACTCAAGCTGACTGATACTCAGTTTCTTAAGATCTTGAATTGAAGAGGTATACTGATTTCCAGTACTGTTTCTGTAATCAAGTGAAGTTAAGTACATTGAAAAACCAAGTAAAATGTGGGCTTTGCTGATTCTGGTTCAGATACCTGATTACTGGACAAGCTAAAATGTATCAGAGCAGTGTACAATACTTTTCATAAATACTTACAAGTCTAGACATACATATTTCAATGTATTTTAGTTTCTGAACTTGAGGATGAAAAGTGCTATAGCTGCAGAATCTATGTGTTGTATTGCTGAGTTCATAATCCAATCTTGGAGAATTATGTGGACTATATCTAGTATCATCTTTTTGGCTTTTGCAAATACCTCTATTTGTGATGAATATAGTTTTGGATGTATCACTGCATTGTTCAGAATATGCCCATATACTTATTTCTATGTAAAGTATTTTCCTATTGAGTTCACAATCCTATCCTGCAGAACTCAACACCAAAGCTATATTATGATATATTTCACCTATTATGATATATTGTAGAAATACCTCATAATTAATTGAAATATCATACTACACTTGGTTAAATGTCTCAGGAGGTTTTTATAGATATAGCTGCAATTAGTTTTTAGCACTGAGTATCTATCACATAGCACAAGTATGCACTTATTGGATTAAGCACACATTCAGGCAGAGTTCACTATTGATAGTAGACTATTGTGAATAGTCATATAAGATATAGTAGCTTACAGATTACAGCCAGCAGTAATTGGCAGTCTGGTAAATCACACTATAGGCACAACCTTTGAATCATTCTCATGAATATCACTCCATGACTCCTGAATTTTCCTGTTTCCACCCTCTTTACTATTAGTGTGAATATCTCTCATCTCATGTTGCTCTACAGTAACTAAGACCTGCACTGAATTAGAGATGTAATTTGATAGTCAAGTCAAACAATTTTACTTGTGTTTTCTGGTTTGAATGATTACCAGAGGCAGAGGTAAGAGTCTGTCAAATAATGTCAAGTTCTTATAGACAAACAACAAATATACAGAAAAAATCACTACTGATCTTTGCTGTACACCTTTAGGTGCATATAGGAAGACTCTAGAATTGAGGCTTGACATAACAGAGTTACCAAAACTATAATTGATAAATATATAGCATATATAATTGCTAGAAAAAAATAAATAGACTCACAGCTTGCACAGGGTATAATTAAAAGCTGATCAAACATGAGAAACATTTATACAGCATGAATGTAATGTAACTCAGTACCTAGATGAAGTCCTCCACTCTGCGCAGTAAAAATTAAATGAGAGCAGGTATGCTTACAATTATAATAGACATACCTTGAAAACAATAAGATCACCCAATGCAAACCTTGCAGTCAAAAGGCCATTTGACAAAGTAACTGATAACCCATTAGTCTAAGCTCTACAGTTAGAAAAATCACATACTTTGAACAATCTGATTGACAACTGTGCTTGTTGTTGAATAATCTGAGTGTTTTTGTTGCTAAAATTCATGAGTATAAACAGAGTGAGAAAATAGTCATGACTAACCAGAATCTACACGTTAAATCATCCCCTTGATACTTGATGCCAACACAATCTCTAACCCTAAGACTCACTTCTGAGATAGACAGGTACTGGCTGGGTTGTTGATAAGCAGGTGGGGCTTGTTGATAAGCTGGTAGGCTCTGAGAATATTTAGTGCAGTAAGGAGAAGGGTAGATAAAGTATACTTAGTCTGTCCTTTCTCGATATATTGCTCTGGTATTTATACATGAGGGACTAGACCCTTAAATACTACTGGTAGTACACCTAACACCTAGGCTGACTGATGCTCCTAATATGCTATTGGTTATCTAAGAATACCAATGTGTGAACACTCTGTCTTATGTTGAGTCAGTAGCTTAACTAGTGACCACCTGAATGACCATGTGTGATCCTAAGCACTACTGAGGATATTCTCTTGTGATAGGGGTTCCCTATAGCCTTTCTCAATTGATGGGCAATCACCTGACTAGTCACATGTCACTATCTAATCATATACTTAAACAGGAAGATATCTAATCTAATCAGATATAGATCATCTAAGCACTGAGTTAAGATAGACACTTTGAAATTCTATGATACCACACTAGAGACAGAGAAATGATGGTATCTGTAATAGCTGCTAGAGACAGCCATACCAAAACAACTGTCTATTGATATATAATAAATCTGATAGCCTTTATTATCAAGCACATCAACATACTCCATATAGATTGAAATGTGGTATGTATGATTTAATTGCATTACTAACTGCAGTTCTTATCGCAGCTATTATATATCAAATAAAAATATAAAGTTATTCAGAATACAATTTTAGAAATATATAAAACTTACCACATGAACCAGAAGCCAGAACCATAATTATAAAGACAAGCCACTATTTTCTCAGTAAGTACATAAATTCTCCATGCATAGAGCATCTGAACTATCCATCCAATATACCCCTAAATAAATGTGTCAGAAAATATTTATATTTGCATATTCAATCTAACACACAGCTATCACTTTCTCTGATGCTGACTTTAGTTTATCACTGTGCAAAAAGGAACCCAAAAAAACTGACCTGTTTCTAGCACTAATCAACAAGATAATTTCAGTATATATAAACAGAAGAACCAATATCACTTACACTAGTCAGCATACAAGATTGCATGTGAATTGCCTAATTTTACATTATTATCTCAAACAGACTTCCAGTAGCTAAAAACTCACCAAAATTATTGATCAGAGTGTTATATATCCACCAGATGTTGAAGAAAGAATTCAAAGTATCAGCCAAAAAGAGAACACCAACCTGATTGGAGATCATTATAATCACATTTGGTAAATTCATAGAGTAGAAATAGACATACATAGTACTTTGACCAGATGGTGTCACTAAAACAGAATACTCATGTCAGTAAGTCTTTGAAATTATTAAGCCACATTTTACATACTTGGTATAAGTTGTATAGTAGAAGAAGATTTGAGTAATCATAACACCATAAAGCCTGTGCATATAGAGCAGATTCAGATCCATCTGGTTGTGATAAGTATTATATTTGCAAGTCATACATGATATTCATAAAACTTCCTGCTAGTGCAGGTCCATCTCTAAAATTATATAGTGAGTTATGAGCCAATTTAATTATAGAAACACTCTACACACATAGAGTTGGTATAATACACAAGCTGGGCAGCACTTATTGTTGCATTCACAGTGTCTGCCATAGTAGCATCAATGTCTCTGAAGAAGCAGTTGAAAAAATACTAGATGAGCCTAAAACTGAACCACTAAAGTGCCGTTTAGAGGGGATTCTGGGTCCACTGTCAGATCAAACAAGCACCTAAACACTAGCTTTTAATTGCTTCATTTGTATCATTCTCACCAGCTGAAGACTATGAATAGAAGCATAATAAGGCATCAATGCTTACGTAGAAGTTCTCCCGAGCTGGTAACCTACTAACACTAGGCTCTCAACTGCATCAAGCCTATGATAGTTGATAAGAGATAATATGTTACCATATTTCCACTGATATCAGTAGTGTTGAAGGGATTAATTTTTTTACAGGACAGATGCATGAAGCTAACTGTATTATTATGTAGCAGATATTAGAAGATGTTCAATAATGGGTTGTGATGCTAGATATATATGTATTTGACATGTTGTATAGTGACACTGCATCATGTCTTCATAGAACTGTCAGTACCATTCAGCTGTCAAAAATTACTCAAGCTATACTGTTTGGTTCATGTCTAATCTCATCATAGTCCCAGCAAGCACTACCAGAACTTGAAGTGTTAAACCATAGCCTCATGCTTGCCATTTACAACCAGTTCTGTGACAGGCACAGACAGGACCCATTCTGTAACTAATAACCATATAAGTGTGTGACTCAATAGGTTGTCCTTCAAGCTTCATGTGCTGCACATAATTGATCTGTGTGCATGAAGAGAATACAGGCTCTAGAGCAGCTATAGGCTTGAAGTTCAGTTCAAGTATAGATAGAACATCAGGCACATAAACTGCAAGAATAGTGAAAGGAGACTGATAAGATGTACATGGTTCAAAATATCAAGATACTGTGCTAGTATGGACTTGGCCCACAAATTCTTGGTCCTAATAGGAGATGATGCACCTATAGTGATGAAAGAACATAGGAGCTGGGCTTTTGAGGATGCATTATTATGTCATATAGTGTCTAAGGCATGGCTGACCTTTGACAGCTAGTATGATGGAGTTGCAATCTGATCTCAAAGTTTGAGGCACATAACTTATATTTGGATGCTATACAGCAGCTTCTTCCTATAACACTGGTATGAGAAAACCAAAAAACCTCTGAATATTATGTGTATCCCAATCAACATGCCCCTCTGCTCCCAGCAACATCAGCAACACAGATGTGTTTGAAATACTAAGATCTGAGTGGACCTGAGGTGGCAAAAGCTTGTGCTGGTGACTCCAGCCAGTAACTTGGGCCACTTTTTTAGTGGGCAGATATGCTGAGAGAGCATAAATCAATGGAAATTACCAGCTTACATCTTGACAAATTGATGTTACCTGATGGACAGGTTGGATGTATGGTTAACTCAATGACCAGCATATGTTCTCATGAGACTGGATGGGACAAGAATACAACAACATCAAGAAACAACATCAAGAAAATTTAGTTTTTGCTTTATGTAACTTAGTAGGTCTTGATGAGGTTAAGAACATATCTTGCTATCTTTAAATTACTTGAGAGACAACTAAGCATTATAATGAAATTGCCTAAAGAAAATATCTCAGAGCTACTAGATAAGCTAGGATATAGATGTATAGAGGTCAGATGAAACTGTATATAGGATTAGTGTATGGGCTGAAAGAGTGGTGTAATAATAGTGTGTAGGCTCAAATAGTACTGCAAATAGAATTACTATATCATCTGAGGAGTCTACCATAGTTTGTAAGCTCAGATATAGCTATATATAAGATCCACAAGGGAGCATAAGATCATATTTCTGTGGGAAATATCATAATCATCCACCATTAGCAAAACATGATACTGTAGATTAATGAATGTATTAGAAGAAACATTATAACTGTAATGATAATATATATCTACATTATATCTGAGATATCTGACTTTCATATTGATGAAAACTTAAATCTCAATATTATCATTACTGGTAATGTGTACTTCACTCTGCCTTGTATAGTGCACTAACTTGACTTGACCTGCATAGGTGAGCATGAGTGACTGTGTGATAAGAAGCTGGTTCTGATAAGACCTACCACAAAGTTCTACATGTTATAGGCCACTCTTTATATAGGAGATTGTTTACTTCTAGTGCTATATAAATAGTATTTACGAGGCAGATCAAGCCTTAATTGTACATGTCTTATGATATAGTACAAGGCCATTAGGAATATATAACATTGTAGTTATGAAATATACTCAAGCATCTGCTTTGGTCTTTGATATGGTAAAAAAAAATAACAAGAATCTAAGATGAAGATACAGTGACTTGCTGCTACTTCTTTGAAAGGTTCATATCTATATACACATGAATACAAAGGACCACTGAATGTGTCTTTATAGTGGCCAGATCACCAATGTCAGCAATAGTTTTGTGCAAAGTATAATACAAAGTGAATCAGTACAGACAATCTTGATGTTTATAAGTGGGAAAGTAGACAAAGTGTGTACCTGAATTATCATGTCAGTGATTCATACCAATTTGCAGGATGATGTTAGGTGGATCAGTACTGAATCAGGCAAATATTCAGATATTCTTACATCTTCAAGTAAAAATGGCCAAAATGTACATTTGTATTTATTTCTTCCTGAATTTACTCTATATTCTTAAACAGGAATTATTATGCTGTTGATGTTGAGTTTCTCCCTAACCAAAATGTGTAGCTGAACAATATGACTGACCTTAATAGCTCTTTTAATGCTCAAAAAATTGATTATACTATGCCTTTACCTGGAGTAATTGGGTGTAGGATGGGCACTGTTTTTACAAAGTATATTCATGAGTAAACTTAGATCACCTGAGAGTCTTCTACCAATATTATATTGATAGTGAAACTTAACTTATTATACAGAATCATACAGCAGCAACTAGATGTAATAAAGAGTATGTATAGTGTGCAGGATGGTTCAAGACTGTTTATTGTGATATTAAATCTGAGTATTACATGTTCTAGTATAATGAATGCAGGTATTGAATTATAGCACTTGCTCAACACATTGAAAGAAGTTAGAACAGATATCAGTACTATATGGAATTATACATTTGTAATGATACCTGACAAAGCTATCATGTGGATTGAAACTGATGTTCTTGTGATGTGAGCATTTTGTTTTTGCCTGTAATAATTGATATTCTGCTTATTAAGTCTCCATCTTACTAGAATGTCTATATAAAAATATTGCAATTGTCTCTATTTCTTAGACTATCCAAATAGTCATGGTCACCTTCAATTCACCTCTGTGAATAATATAAACTCTCACCCAGATTTTAATGCAGTATCCCTCACTGAGTGTAGAGTTGTATTTATTTTCTGTATAAATATACTCAGTGTTCACTTGCAGAAAATCAGATGCTGCTTTTCTTTGATAGAGATACAATTTTAGACTTATCTTAGATTCTTATACACTTGAAACAGACTTGTTCATAGTTCCATCAAATGTCAATACTGTAAGTTGTGGGCATTCTAGTTATCTCTCTATCTGTCTAAGTATTCTGAATGTCATTCAGAATATGTCCTCAGCTACTATTTGTTGTAGATAAGGCTGTGATTATTGTAATGCAGGATATCTGCATACACTCATATATCAATAGACTCTAAATAAGCTGAATTTAAATTTGTACAATAAGGACATATAGAAATACTGCATGTATTTTACATGTGTAGTGCTTGTGCCAAGAACACAAGGCTTTTCTTAGAAAGTATATATATTAGGCCAGATGGCAGCATGCTGGAGAATTTCACAATAGCTTAAGCAAGAGCTCACCTGCAAAATAGCTCAAGTAGAATGGTGGTAAGAGTGAAATAAATAAATTAAGTGTGAATAAGATTTACAAAAAAGTGAAATTAGGTGATAGATTACAGTTTTATCTGGGCCCATACACTATCACCATGTTATTTCTTCAGCTTATATATCATCAATTCTATATATAATTATGTCTCAGCTTATCTAGTATCTCTGAGATGTTTTCTTTAGGTAATGTAGTGGTGATAAATATTTTTATATATGAACCCATAAATTATATTTATAACAAGGTTGACATAGCTCATCTTAGAGCACTAACCACAATACCAGTCTGAGCTTAGGTCAGCTGGCCAGAGAAGTCTGTGACAGTTATATATCCAATTATCACTGTAGTTTACAATTGAATAGTATAGCCCCAGTGTACAATGCATTGTCATCTCTCATCAGCCATCATTTTGTGTACATTATATAGCTGGCACAGTGTACAATAATCATTCAGTAATGGTAAGTCAATATAACTAATGACTTAGCAGTTCAAGAGTAGCATAAGTAAGGCAGATTGGTATGATGAGGAGGCTTAAGCGGTTTAATCTTCAGGCTTGTCTGGTATTTTCATAACCACTTCTACAGAAATGCTACTATAGCAAACACTATAAACATAATTATAAGTACTGTCCAGTTTGTGTATCACATTACGTTCATGTGTGTGTAGTATCTCAATAGTTACCATAACATATAACTCATCATGTAATTAATTCATTCTAGAGATGAATCTACATTAGCAGGATTATCTACTACAGCTGTGATAGATATGAATCTGTATTATACATATAGGCTTTATAGTGTTATACTGCCCAAATCCTCTATTATACAACTTAGACAAGGTGTGTAAAATGTTGCATAATAATTTCAAACATTTACTGGCATAAATATTCATGTTTTCATGAAACTATATGGTTAAAGTAATATGTAAGTGTATTTTTGCTCTATGAGCTTCCTAAATATGAGTATAATGATTTTCAATCAGGACAATGTTTGCTTTTTAGCTAATGGTCTGAATTCTATCTTTGATATGTGGCAAATGTATAATACTGCGATTAATCATTTTAATGAATTTTTTGCTACTAGAAACATGTTTGAGATCATCATGTAAAATTAGACAATGTAAATGCAACCTCTTTGATGCCAGCTGGTGTAAGTGATAGTTGTTTTTTGTTTATGTAGTGTTTGAAACAGGTTAGTTTTTTAGGTTCTCCTTTTGTTAAGTATTAAGCTAATAACAACATCAGAAGAAGCTTTAGTTATATATTTGATTATACTTGCTGATATGAATATGTTCTGATGCATTTATTGTAGGCATTTACTAGATAGATTCAGATGTTCTATGCTTAAAGACTCTATATACATGTTAGTGAAAAAGTAGGTTGTCTTTGTAATTATAGCTTCTGGTTCATGCTGTGTTTTATATTGCTGCCAGATTAGATTTCATAGTGTATTAAAGGTGAATTACAAGATATTCTAACTAGAACACAATGCATTACAGTGAGAGTACAAGACATTATAATTGGGGAGGTTGTTTTGTGACCTAATTTATAGTCAGTTTAAAGTATAGCCCATATAGACTTAACAGGTACATATAATTGAAATGCACATGTAAACTTTTTCATTTTGAGGCATTAGTTTGAAATAAGGATGATAATAATTATGTGAGCTCCACACAACTAAAACTACTTTCTAAACAGGCCTATGATCCCTACACCTTTCCACCTGTAACTGAGCCCAGGATACATAGGCTAGAGTTTCCACTACTCACACCACTGCCTTTGTTACACCTGCTTCATTGATTAAGGTTTGTGTGGCTAGAATACTGCAAGCAAATCTCATCCTGCTGTAGCTAAAAGTAACTGGGTTATGCTTCTCAGGCTTATGCACAGTAGTGGGAATTCCTGTATGAGGCTATATACCTTAAAGGAGAGATTTAGATGTTGAGGAACTATACATAGAGGTAAGCTCTGTAAAGTTGGGCTGTTAAGGCTGTGGTTGGAAACAAGGAGAATTGACCTGTTGGCACTGCACTGTTTAAGTTATGTGACAGCTAGTTGCATTCACACGTACAGAATACTGGTACCATTGCACCAGGCTGTCCTCTTATAATTGGATTACTGGAATACAATATATTATAGTGAGATTACACCTCATTTTAATTAGATTACCGGATTATATTACATTATAACCTATATATAATGGATTAAAATCATGCTTTGATCAGATTATAATAGAGTAAAGTTGGATTATAGTGGTACTACAGAATATTGTGAGAGATTAGACACAGTTGTGTATAATTATTATAACTGCATTACAAAGAATGATTCAAAGCTAACTATTATGATAACAGCAGATAATGTAGAGTGAACTGATGAAAACTGTATAGATACTTACAATTGGAATAGGTTAATTATTTTTATGCAATCACTCATCCCAAAATGCTCCATTGAAAGATGTCCTGAATGTACTGGTGCTGAGAGAAGCAGATGGTGGTGTCTTGGACAAGGTTCCCACCTTGTTGGCTTGTTCTGTGTACTGAGAGTGCAGCTCCCTAGCCAGCTTCTTCACCCTAGCAAACTTGAAGCAGATGTCCATGGTGTGGCCTTTTCTTGCGCAGAAATCACAGGATACGGAGCCATAGGGGCTATATGATGAATGGGGCAATTTCTGGAGATCAGGAAAGATCAGGAGATGGATAGGGATAGGCCAAGGTAGGAGAGAGCAGGGGGGACCCAAGAATGAATGATAGAAAAAGATTGGAGCAGATCAGGGGAAATTGGAGTAGGGGAATTGATAGAGGGTGCAGTGAGATTGTGGGGCTTACAACCTGTTTAGACCAAGACAAGAGGATGGTCTGCCAGAAGCTCAATAGTATGAGGACAGCTAGAGTCCAAGATGAGCATCTAGAGTATATTATATAATAGACCATGTAGCTACATACCTAGAGTCCAAGATGAGCATT